TTGCGTAACCGACTCCCGAACCCAGACAATGGTTGCGATGACCTTGCCTTATACCTTTTTCGTCAGGTTTTTCCGATCATTTCCTTTCCCGTTCTGAGGGATAAATAACGAAAGATGGCGACTTTTATGTTTTCCCGGCACCTTATTTTCGCGGAAGCGACAGCTGGCGACTCTGCTGGGGACTTGATAGTTTCCTTGGGATCCAATGTCCCTTATGCGAGTCAGTTTGGGGATCCAACGTCCCCTGCGAGAGTCAATCCTAGCGCTTGTATGATTACTTGTTGGGTTGTGTTTATTTATCGCACTTTATTTCCCGCACTTTATTTTTAGTATGATATGATTATCTGTGCTGTTGTGGGAGGGGCATTCTGATGAGTGAGAAGCCAAACCCAGGCTTGAGTGTACTTAGCTTTAGTTATGGAAATTAGTGGGCGCGTGCTTGCTTTGCAGGCACTAGTGTCTCATGAAATCCACGCTCAGACGAGGTTCTCCCGGTTGACCTTTTTTCCGGTTGGAGGATTGTCGACTCTGGGGACCGATCATTTGGAATTCAGCTGAGTGAGGCCGCTTCAGGAGATGGTGATGCCACACCTTCTGGGTATCGTATCATCTCTCTTGAATGTCTGTGACGCTGATGACCACATAGGATGCCGAACTTGTGTCAGTTTAGGTCCATACCTGTGAGCACGGTCGGGTTTGTTGCAGGAAACCTTAACCTTCAGACTACCTGGTTTTCTTAATAGTGAATCAGTTTTGTTGGTATCAGAGGATATCATCATCAGATGTGTATTTGTTCTTGACAGAGCAGGTTTATGGTTGGGATCAGAGGATCTCATCATCAGATGTGTATTTGTTCTTGACAGAGCAGATTTGTGGTCCTATATCAGAGGTTCTCATCATCAGCTGTATGATTGTTCTTGACAGAGCAGGTTATAGTCTGACATCAGGGGTTTCTCCTCATCATCAGATATATGTGTGTTCTTGGCAGAGCAGATTTATGGTCCGATGTCAGGGTTTTCTTCTCATCAGTGATACGGTTTTTCTTGACAGAGCAGTGTCGTACCTCGAAAAATACGATCCTCGCGATGACCGCGGAAAATACTGTTCGAAACAGAGTCGCCACCGAACTTTATTCATTCCAAGGCTGGAATAGGAAAATATCGATAAAACCTTAAAGGAGATAAGAACATGGTCATCGCAACCAATATTCTAGGTTCGGGAGTCGGTTATGCAGAGGGAAGGTATTAGCACCCTCTACGTCCGTTGTACTCAACGGGAACCTCTTGATCGATTCGAGAGTAAAGTTAACTACGCTTATTTGTTTTCTTCTAAGGTTTCTCCTATGGGGGAATGGGTGGTTTTAAGATAGGGTGCTCGCCAAGGATTGGGGCCCTTGTGCCTATGTATCTTCACTTGTAAGAAGTGGAAAATCAGAGCATTCGTAGTTCGTGGGACTATGGGAAAAAGAAGGGATTGTGCTCGCCAAGATCATCGCAATCTTGTGCCTACGTATCTTACATTCGAAAGAGAATGAAGAATCAGAGCAGCCGTAGTTCGGCTAACTACGGTAAAAGGTTTATGTTTGGAATAAACGAGAGTTTAGGTCGCATTCTAACTGCTAAACATTGGCTTGACTGCTCGCTAGGGGAGGCTGAAGCACGAGTTCATATGCGCGGAAGAAAGGAATAAACAATGTTCTTTGGTAAAAGGTGTTTTGGTTGGAAATCGCACGAGGGCGATGAATTAGGTTTATCGTATTGGATGTTTCGGTTTGGGAAAGAGGATATATTTGAATATGTTTAAGGTTTCGATCACACGGGGGCGAGAAATAGGAGTTTGGTTAGGTAATTTGATAGAGAATGACGACTATTCGATAAACGAGACGTCAGCCTCGTAATCAATTAATCGGGGTATCATTGGAATGCTAGATTCCAACAACAACTTTTTCATTCGAAAAATTACGAAATATGTTTGAGAAAGTTTCAATCGCACGAGGGCGAGAGAAGAGAGTTGGATTGAATATTTGAAGAGAGAATGACGACTACTCGATAAACGAGACGTCGGCCTCGCAATCAATTAATCGGGGTATTATTGGAATGTTAAATTCCAACCACACCTTTTTCATTCAATTAATTATGAAATTGTATTTGGATGGACAATGACGATATTTGTCCAAATAGTTAGGGCACGTGTTTTATAGACGAAAGGTCGAGTAATCCACAACCTAAAGCGTACGCCCCAAGAATGGTTACTCAAGAATTCAAGAAGCGCGAGACTCCAAGAACTCAATTCTTTCGCAATTTTTAATCAAGAAAATAGTTTAGATTTGACGTACAGTTTAGAATCTTACTAGGGTTTATACTCGATCGTATGAAGGTGAGGAACGAGATTAGATGGTTTGAAAAATTAGGAGGAATGACGACTACTCGATAAATGAGACGTCGGCCTCGTAATCAAATCAATCGGGACATCATTGGAATGCTAGATCCCAACGATACCTTTTTCATTCGAAATATGTTTGATGGATAGTTTAGACGCGAAAGAGTTTGAATTGAAAGAGATTTATATTCAATCACACGAGGGTGAGAAACGAGGTTATGCGGGTTGAAAATTTGGGAGGAATGATGACTATTCGGTAAGCGAGACGTCGGCCTCGTAATCAAATCAATCGGGATATCGTTGGAATGCTAGATCCCAACGACATCTTTTTCATTCCATTAATTATAAAATATGTTTGTTGGACAGTGAAAGTACTTGTCCAAATAATTAAAGGAGGTATTTTAGAAACGAAAATGCGAACGACACCATTCGAGGCGTACGCCTCAATAGTAGTCACTCTCGAATTCGAGGAACGCGCGACTCCAGGAATTCGATTATTTCGTGATTTGATTATGAAAATAATTTGAAAATATTAGCGTACTCGGACTAGGCGCGCTATGTATTCTAGAAAATAAGATCGAAAGGGTCACAACTCGAGGTGTGCACCTCGAGAGCGGTTGCTTAAAAATTCAAGGAAGGCGAGATCCAAGAATTCAATTGTTTTGAAATTTACTTAAGAAAAAAAAGTTTAATTTAATTAAGAAAACTAATTTTAATTTTCATATATAAGAATAAATTAATAAATTGTTTATAAAAAGATTTTGAGAAAAGCTAGTCATATTTAATTGTTTTGAAAAAAAATTTAATATCTTAGAAAAAATATTTTAACTTTATTAATAAAGTATAATTTTCTAAAAGTTTAAAATATTTATTTGGTAATAATTGATGAGATTTATATTTTTTTAAAAGAAAGAATAATTTGAATTTCTTATCAAAATATCTAATAGTAATTAAAAATATCTTTAAGAAATTTCAATTAAGCTAAGTGAAAAACAATTTGAAAACCAAAAGACGGAACAACCACAACTCAAGGGCGTGCGCCTCGAGAGTGGTTGTTCAAGGACTCAAGGGATGCTAGACCCCAAAAGTCCACTACTTTCGTTATTTATCTAAATAAAAAATTTGGTTACTCGTAGTGAGAATTACTTAGTCAAGTTTTAAAAGTTCACTTAAATTAGAACCAAAGTTTGCTTATTTGGATTGCATTCACGTGGAAACCATTTTATAAATAATTAGGCAACACAATTTATACGTCCATACAAGTTTCGGAGGTTAAATTAAATTTTAACTCCGAATTCGTAACGCAATAAGCAATAGTAACAACCAGAATATTTTACATATTTACAATATTACAATTTTCATCAAGAAGACAACATGTGTAGATAAGTAGTATTTGAAAAATGAACATGTTTATTTTTTGTGATCATGTTAGCCATAGAATTGAAATACATTTTAAGATGAACAAAATGATAATAAAATGCAGCATGCCTAGAACTCACTTATTATACTACAATAACTATGAGAAACTAACAACTAACATTATTTATCATATTTAGCAATGTTAGAACCTAAAGTTTAATGTTAAAAAAGAAATGGAACATTATAATATTATTCACAATATTTGGATACTCACTATAGAATGATTCTTTATAAAAATCCAATGATACCTTGAAATGACCAAACTTAAACAACCCATATGCGGTAATCAATCAAACCGAAAGCTGTTATTAGTAAGACCACAACATGTGCTACTTAGGAATGGCACAATAGACTTCAATGTTAAAAACAAATTCAAGATTCAACATAGTACTGTTATGTATTTTCAAATTCAACACCAATACAAGACAACAAGCAAAATTGGTTTTTTCTCTAAAAAAAATGAAAACAAAAACATCACCGAATCAATACGAATCCCAAATTAAAAGGCTATGCAGTGAGTTTATTATCGTTAACTTTATCAGAAACGCCGGTAAATCCTCGAAACAGCCTACATGTCTCAGCACTTAAATCACTGGATCAGGGAGTCATCACAACAGCAACACAGAAACATATACGCGATACTGAAACACCTTCAAAATTTATAGCAGAAAAGAAACAGATCGAAACCGTCGTGACACCGACTATCGCTACAACTTGAGTTTATCACCATAAATAAATTAGTAACTACAAAGCTGATATTAATACCAATGCCGTAATCGTGTGACAAGTTCTTTATGACAGTGGCAGCATCAATGCATTGAACCGACGCGTTATCTTCAGTATTCCGTTTGGGTATGCGACCTGCAGCTAACTGTAACAAAATGCGGCATCAACATTGGGTGTTGAGCTTGCACGAACTGAACTAGTATAACTTTGATCCTGCAAGTCACTATTTTCAAACACCGAATTTCTTGCGAATTGTGGACCTGAAACTCACAAGTGTAAGACAACCATGAATCAAAACAAAATTAACACTAAAAATGCAAGACTATCGAACAGAATTAGATATGTTTCCAATGTTTTTTATAAGCAACATTTTTGCTTCATCTCATGACCAAGGCAGTTTCTAAGTGCCATTGTATCTCATCCCTAAGTTGGATTCAACAGGTTATGAATGCATCAGGATAACCGAAACCAGCTTCCTAATTGAGACAAAGCCAAACAGAGAACTCTGCTGCAACTATAGGCTTCTTCGAATCTTCAATTGAGTTGACAACTAGCTCCACAGATACATCGGGAACAAGTGTAATATCACCGGTTTGGTGAACTCTCTGCATAACACTGATGTCTAACCCTCCAGAAAATCTCCCACCTTTTCCAGTAAAAACGATAGCTTTTACATCATTCCTCCTCGCGACTTCATCGAATTTATATTTCAACACCCTAATAATTGGAAGAGCTAAAGCATTAACAGGTGGATTACACATGGTGATAACAGCAACCCCATCATGTCCAACCTCAAAATCAACCTTAACTGATGCCATCAAAACCATATAATTAATCCATAGAGAATAAAGATGCAACCATAACAAGATGTCTAACAAAAGCTCCATAACTTCTAGGAAATAGTTCTCAAAACAAAAACAGAAATAGTTTGACAAGAAACAAAATTGTAACACAGGCAAATATGATTCAAACAATCTAAACTTCTGATTTGTCAGCCTTTGCAGCGCTAGCAGCAGCTTGACCCCTGAGCCTACCAATCCTCTTGGAAGCAATGAGACCAACCTTCTGTCCTAGGAGGTGCATCACTTCTGACAGTACTTGCATGACCAATATGCCGGTGGTTACCTCCTCCATGGGGATGCTCAACTGGATTCATTGCGACACCGCAAACCTTAGGCCTGCAGCTCCTCTTAACTCTAAACTAGTGGTATGCATTACCAAACCTCAATCATAGCCCTGCAATCACTTGATACAAACTTCTTGGCACCAAAAAATGTTTGATCCTAGAGGTATCATTATCAGGGTTGTGACTGATAACAATAGCATAATCATAACTTTGTGTCAAAACAAGAACAAACCAACGAAAACATCAATAACCTGCATATTGAATTTAGTTACGGCACAAATAATAGGGATTGATTCAACCTGATATCTCAAGCGAGACGTGCTATCAAAACCTTCATGTCGGAGTCGGCGTAGTAAGTAGGAGAGAAACAGAACCAATGTTGTTGCTGAAAACGAGCCTCAACGGCTGGTGTTTGTTGTGTCATTCACTCGCTGCTGTTGTCGTAATGAGGCGAGCGGTGGAAGCTTCTTGTTGGCTTCGTCGATGTCTTCTTTATGGAGTGATTAACACCAGAAACACACAACAAAAAAAAGGAAACAAAACTTTGAAGAGTAACATCAATTCTACCACAGAGAGGAATCCCTTGCAAACGACTCAGATGGCTGGGTTTGATGCTTGGTCATTGTGCCGAAATCCACAAATCGGAGCGGAAATGGCAACAATCTAAACCGCGAGTGATTCGTCATTGGTGTAGTTTCTATTGTCAATGCTATTGTTATTCGCGTCGAACCATTCCCATCGGTGGTCTTGCTGTGTTTGTACCTGGAACAGAACCTAACAGAAACATCAAATTAAAATCAAGAAGGTGAGGATAAAGAACATCTCGATGGTGTCAGCGGCAGAATGGGTTTACGCGTGTGGGTGTGTGGATTTGAAGAGAAGAGGTTGAGGGGTTTTGGCGACTGGCTTTTGAAAGAGAAGGTGATATTGATGGCGGATGGGGAAGAGAAGAGGAAGAAGTCAAGATTTTTAGGGTTTTTTTGATTTTGGGGCGGCCGTTTTAGGGTTTCTTGTTGGAGGATGAACATTTCCTCCTAAATTAGGGTTCCAGAAAAGGGGGCGGCCCAATTTAGGGCTCGATGAACAGTAATGCCCCTCCAATTCTCTCTAGGGTATGTGAACAGTAGCTGACCCTTTATACACTACTTCTAAACCCTAATTTCCCAATTAACCGTGTCTCTTATTCAATTTCTTTTTCTATTTTTCTTTTAATTTCTATTTAATTAACTAACTAATAATCTAACTAATTAATTCTAATCTTATTTTAATTTTATCTTAATTAAACAATTCTAATCTAATTAATTAATAATCTATTCTAATTTAAAAAATTAAAATAAAATAAAAAAACTAATCTAAATATAATTTAAATTCTAAATTTTGAAATAAAAATCTAACCTAATTAAAAAAAATATTACATTATCTTAAAATAAAATATATATATATATATATATATATATATATATATATATATATATATAAAATAAAAAAATAATAACAAATAAAAAGATGCTACGTGGCATGCTCTTATTGGGCTAAAAAGCGAAAATGCCTGTTTTTGCTGAAAAATACGCTACGCTGTATAAGCGAGGTAAATTAAAAACAAAGTCGGGAAAATGAGAATTTTGAAAAAAGGTAGGACAAATTTGGGGTATGAGAAGCAGCATTGGGGTTTTGTTGATACAAAATTTTCACCTTCATCTCCGCAACAGCACAGTCGTCTTGATCTCCTGCTGCATGATTGCATTTTGCATTGTTTTGCATACTCATTAGCATTTCATTAACGTGTGTCTGTGTTGTAGGTACCGTTTCCCCCGATTCAGGTTTTCTTGCCTTCCATTGTGCTGCCATGGGTTCTCTGAGGAAGACTGTGGCCTACAAGCTCCCCGCTCCTGATGTTGTTCAGCTGACTGATTTTATAGCTTTGGCAGATGATTCTGTGAGAGGTGAATTCAGAAAGTCTTATGGGAAACTGCTCAGCTTGGTTCGTAAACCCTCTGTGTTTGAGCTGAATGGGCTGCACGCCTTGCTGCAGTTCTACGATCCTCTTTTGAGATGCTTTACCTTCCCAGACTTTATTCTCGCACCTACACTAGAGGAGTATGCTGATTTGTTAGGTGTGCCTATCAAGAGTCAGATGCCCTTTGTTCATATGGATGCTGAGCCTAATCTGGCTAGTCTAGCCCCTTCACTTCATCTGGATGCCTCCGAGTTGGTCTTGTCTAGTTGGAACAGGGTTCCCGGTTTCTCCTTGCAGTTCTTAGTGGGAAAGGCCCAGTAGTGTGCCAAAGACGGTTGTTGGATCGTGTTCAACGCTATTCTTGCTCTTTGCATATACGGCATCATTTTGTTCCCCAATATGCCTGACTTTGTAGACTTCGATGCCTTTAACATCTTTGCATCAGGGAATCCAGTCCCTACCTTGATAGGAGATGTCTACCATTCCGTCCACTACAAAAACGAGAACAGAAGGTGTAAGAACGTCTCGTGCTGTGTGCCCTTGCTCTATAGATGGCTTGATAGTCACCTACCCAAGAAGGGCCCCTTTGCTTCGTCTGCAGCCACAACTGAGTGGTCTGAGCGTTTGATGAGTCTATCAGCGGTGGACATTGCCTGGTTTGATAGAGATAGGTTGGGTACTGAGATTATCTTCAGCTGCAGCGGGTTTCCGAATGTGCCTTTGATAGGAAGGAAGGGCTGTATCAACTATAATCCATCTCTGCTGGTCCGACAGTTTGCTTATGCTTTGAGAGCTCCGCCGAAGGATGAAGAGGTGCAGGAATCTCTGTACCTCACTGGTCTTCTAGAAGGGGATATGTTATCTAAGCTTCAGCATGCTTGGAATGGTGTCTGTAAGCGGGGAAAGCCGTTGCTGGGGAAAAGTAATAGCCAAGCCTACGCTCCGTATATGACCTGGATCAGAGCCAGGGCAGATGTCATAGGGATGCCATTTCCACCTTCCAAGCTAGAAAGCCCTCCAGTGATTGAAGAGCCTACCACCGTGCCTATTCAGCAGCACAATCAGGTGTTAACTGAGAGAAATGAGTTGAAGAAGGAAAATGTAGAACTGGAGAAAGAATTGGCTCAACTCAGAAGCGAGAGAAGCGAAGTCGTCCATTCCTTCAAGAGGAAGACAAAGCTGGTGAACCAGTTAGGGATGGATTTGACTAAGCAGATGGCTGAGCGCGAGCGTTTGGGTCGGGACTTCAAAGTCGTCAATGACATACTGGCCACTAAGAAGCAGCACTTGGAGGAAGCGTACCGGAGAATATCCAAGTTTAATCAGTATTGGAGGGCCATCCTAGCCAACGGCAAGGAATGGGAGGATAAACTGAAGCAGCAGATCTCCAAGTTGAAAGGCCAGGTGAAGGCTAGTGAGAAGAGGTTTGACGAAGAAACCGCTCGCAGATATGCCGCTGAAAGCCTGCTCAACAAGGCTCTTGCTAACCTGAAGGAGCGCAAACTGACGTTTGAATCCAAGAAGCGGAAGTTAGAAGATTGTTTCGGCGAAGGAGCATGGGAAGACTCAGTTGAAGGTCTTCAATACACTATTATGCAGAGGGAGTTACTCGTCGAAGGGTTGCTCACTCAGCCTGATCATCCAGAAACGAGGGATCTGTTAGAAGAGTTTCGAGCCCGTGGTTGTGCTTGACTATATTTGTAATCCTTTTGTTTTGATCATTGTTGTATGCTGACCATCACCAGGCTTGTTGGTCGAGGTCATGCTATTGATTATGCTCGTATTCAGTGACGTTGTGCACCGCCTTGATGGGCTTTCTTTATATATATGAGATGTTATTTCCATGTCTGAACTCGGACTTCTTATCAGCACTGGCACTCAGGCACTAGGATCGGGGGGAAATCTCCCTAACGCACAGACACACGTTTGCATGTGCACGAAGCATTTGCATAACGAGCACTTTGTCGTTTTTCTAACCCTTTTGTGTATACAGGTTATTTCAGGTTGTTCCAGGATTGATCAAAGACCATTCCACCACTATCCGACCAGAGCAAATCAATCTAAAGCAATGGAACAAGTGCAGACTGACGTTCAGGAGCTCCGAGAGAGGATGGACCGCTTCATGGAGCTCATGCAAGTGGTTGCCAACGGCCAAGACCAGCTCAGAACATTGGTCCAACCTCTGATCTCAAGGGTTGACAGCAATGGTGTACTCCATGGTGGGAATGTTCCAACCCCTCCACCTGTTGAAACTCCTCAGAACGGCGTCCCCGTGACCGGGGGGAACGGTAGTGGTAACGACAATGTGATTGCTAACATGGGGCTCAATGGTAATACGACCGGCGTCGGTAATGGGAATTTTGAAGCTAATGTCAATGTTGGGCTGGGCAACGGCAACGTAGGTGTTGGAAATCTGTATGGGGCTCAGCCATGGTTAGAAGACCGTCAAGAAGATTTATTCTCACAGAAGGGTGCTGAAGGAGAGCTGACTGCTGAAGCACGTCTGAGGTTTAAGGCGCTCGAGGACAAGATGAGGAATTTTGAGAACCTGAACACTATGGGGGTCGACATGTCCAAATTAGGATTGATTACTGATTTCAAGGTGCCTCCTAAATTCAAGGTATCTGATTTTGATAAGTACAAGGGCACCACCTGCCCTCGCGTCCACCTGAGGTCATACTACCGGAAAATGTCCGCTCACTCTGAAGACGAGAAGTTGCTGATGCACTTCTTTT